CTGTTTTTGCAAGACTGCCAGTAAAAAGTCAGGATTCAAAAAAGAGTGGTAACTTATATACACAACTACTAATGAGAACTGAGAACATTGGAAAACATGAACAAAATAATGTTATAGGACTTTCTACCTAATTCAGCTAAAAACAGGGTCCTTGTCACATTGCCATGAAGTATGAGGCTCGCAGATACTTTGAAGGTTGAGAAAATGCAATTTATTGGGCAAAAAGGAAAAAAAAGGGAAACAGGGACCCTGCAGAGCGAGAGTCCCGCTGGTATATCCTTCCTGCCAGTATATCCTTCCTGCCTCGCAGATTGAATCCTAGGTTCCTCCCAGGAAGAGGAGGGGCCAAGCTCCTCCCTGCTGCAAACGGCACAAACTTCTGTGGCTCCACCCCAACGGGCAGACCTTCCAGTGCACAGGCTGGTTGGAGTTTTTCCAGGAACCCCTTTACACTTGGCTGTCTCATTAAGTGATATAAACAAACATCAAATATGAGTCCATTATTGCCGATTCTGCCTTGGATGTGACAAACACCAATCAACTGATTATTGTACGCAACTAGTAAAATAGACAACATAGGAGTAATTTTTACCATTTTTTGCCAACTGAAGGCTATGACTTTACTCAAGAAAGTAGTTCTGGACACTGTACCTTGACAATGAACAACTGACAACATTCATAGTCTTTTGACAGTAGAGCTGTAATGAAAGACATAGACAGCATTCTTTTTTAATAAGTACACAGAATATGTCTGAGAGCAGCTCATTCTGTCAGTGTCATGAGATGAGGACTCACCTTCAGGACACCCTGAAGTTGTGGACCATTTGCATACCTTTTCAACAGTTCTATATTTATATATATATTTATTTCCCAGGTTTGTCTCAAAGGTGGGGTATTTTAAATACACACACCAAATTGTATTTTTCTTTAAATGATCTAATTTAATGAGATGGTCCATCCATTGCAAAGTTGTTCAAACTTTGGAAGATGGGAGAGTGATATTTTAAATTCTCTAAAATATATTTCAGAGATGCAGAAGAGAAGCTCAAACTCAAGATATGACATTTATTTTAAAGGCTGATGAAGCTCCAATAGACCATTTAAACTGCAAGTTGTAATGACATTTTGGAACATTTCAATAAAACATGATAAAGTACAGACTCAAACTATTTTGTTTTCAGACTTAAAGAACTAAGTGAATAAAATCATTAGAATATAAACAAAAGCAACGAAGTTTATTAGTAAAATCAAGAAAAAATTATCGTGACATCTAGAAGAATATTGAAACAAAAATTTTTCATAAACTGCAATGGGTCTCTAAATTTTAGAAGGTAATGAATGACTACAGACACTTCTACCTCTCTACTCTGGGCTGTAGTGCTCCCTTCCTGTCCTTGGAGCACCTCACAAGCAGTCTATGTCTTGTGACTTCAAGGATTCACTATGAACCATAGCATTGGTGTTGTCGAGTGAATCGACTAAAGTTTGTCTTTTTTCCCTTCATATACAATGTAAATTTAAATTTCTAAGTTCTGGTGTTAACTCCCTGTACTCCAGTAGATTCTCCTGTGTACTTCTTGGGAGGCAAGAACCACACTTGAGAGAGTAATGCTGTTAAGTGTTTTCATGCTTTAAATTCTAAGACTTTAAGATTAGGTCACTATCACTCTTCAATCCATGACTACTAGGCTGTGTGACCCAAATAATGTTTACTCATCTTGCTGACATTCCTTTTGTGAACTATAACCAGCTTTGCCTGAACACAATACTTAAAATTGGCCATTTAATATCTTATTAAATGGTCTCTGGGGAAAAACAATAAAGATGATTGACTATTTTGTATGTTATTTGCCTAAAGATTTAACATTTCTCCACATGTATTTAGGGACATATATTCTAACTTATACTTAATAGACATTACTAATGAAAATATACCACCCATAGAATATTCATATACCAAAAGCTGCATTAGAAGAAAGTAGTTTGGGAGAAACCTTAGGATTTACCATAAAACCCCAGAACTAAGAGCTGTGTAATAGAAAAGCACACTCTGTTAGACATGCTTCCCAGTCGTTCTCAGAACTCTGTGATCTGTGGTCACACCCAGAGCTGAGAGACTAGTTGAACTTTGTAAGTGAACTTAATATGGTCAAATAAGTTATTAATATATTTCTACAAGTTTTTCCAGCTTGTGTAGTTAATCATTAAGATAGGCAGAGGTGGACCCATAAAGGGATCTAAAGAATAAATGTGCCTTAATATTTGATAAAGAGAAGGGAAGGACCGCAATCAGGTTTCTCTGTGCTGCATTATTTGGTAATCTTGGGAAAGTTACTTTCTTTTAAATTACCTTATTTAAACGGGAAAATTTGTACTCCAGTGAGCTGCAGGTGCAGGACCTTGGTCCAAATATCATGCTTAAGATACACCTGAAACGTAAGTTTCTATGGAAATCCCTGATTTACTTAATAGTAATCAGATAAAAGCTTTTGTCTTAAATGCTTTTTATTGTGCACCTGAAAAGAATTTTATACCCATCACTAGGACCCTTCCTTACCACGCTGGGAGGAACAAATCTCCTTTTCTCTGAGTGTTCTAGAAAGCCTCAGGTGACAAAGTTGCTACCTATTGCAGTTGTCTGCAGATGAGGTAGAACTTGCACTCTTCCTTTAATATTTAGTAGTTTTCATTGCTCAGTGTTAAATCTGCCAGATTCAGGAGATTCATTAGTTTATGAAGCTAATCTCCCAAGTCAAGAATATTTCCTCTATCAATTGAGGCACAATAATCAGGAAATTTTAAAAGAGTCATGAAGGGAAAGAATGTTTCTTACCAATAAAATGTGTGTGCTCTCCCAAGCATGCTGTGTTATAATTTCTTTTTTAGATTTGGATAAACATCTAAAATATTCCCAGAAATATTAAAGAACAGTAAACATCAGTTTAGGAAACAAGTTTTGAACCACATGGAACCAATATAAAAACTAAAGTTACATTCATTCTGGAAATGGCAGTCAGATGAAAGGTACTGCCAGATCTTTTTTTTTTTTTTTTTTTTTGAGGCGGAGTCTCGCTCTGTCGCCCAGGCTAGAGTGCAGTGGCCCGATCTCAGCTCACTGCAAGCTCCGCCTCCCGGGTTTACGCCATTCTCCTGCCTCAGCCTCCGAGTAGCTGGGACTACAGGCGCCCGCCACCTCGCCCAGCTAGTTTTTTGTATTTTTTAGTAGAGATGGGGTTTCACCGAGTTAGCCAGGATGGTCTCGATCTCCTGACCTCGTGATCCGCCCATCTCAGCCTCCCAAAGTGCTGGGATTACAGGCTTGAGCCACCGCGCCCGGCCGTGCCAGATCTTTGCAAGAGCAATATTATGAGGAAGAGAATAAAAACAATCATCTATGGGAAAACATGGGCACATGCTCACACAGCCATCTACACAGACATACTAATCCATGGCCATCCACTCGTGTTCCTCTACATACTTGTATATTTGGATACCTCTGAAAGTTCTCATTGCTAAGTTTAGCTATGTATTTTTATATGGGCCTATTTGTTTAGCTATTTTTCTATATCAACCATTTATACAAAACTCCCCACTCTGTCCAAAACATACAGACCAAAGTGGCAGAACACGGACATTCACAACAAATAGGCTAAGGGACAGTAGCCTCAAGCTCTTTTGTTTCCACCAGTTGTGTCCTGAGATTCAATTTATTTGTCCCAAACCTCAGAATAAAAGTATTACAAATGAAGTGCAACAAGAAATTTACTGTTCCTATGAAAATTTGGTTAAAAGTATTAAAATATTTTGACAATGGAAGTAATTAAGAATGTTTTTAAATTCGATGTGGGCAAGAAAATTGTTAAAGAATCGGGAGGAAAATATTAAAATTCTAGGAAGATTCTGCACTCTTCTTTAAAAGTGTCTCAGTTCTCATTCTATTTAAAAAGTGGGTACAGTAGTTGATGAATTTCAGGTGTGGGAGATACAAGAAAAACAGTGACAAGTTCTAGCAGTAGATCCATATCTAAAGACAAGGACTTGTAACAACCTGTATACCAAAAGATTAATTAAAAGATGCACATTTGTATAAGTTAAAAAAATTTAAGATGTGTATATATGTTTTAAGGACTCCCTGCTTTAACCACATTTTTCAATTAACCAGTTGCCTGTTAGTCTGGACCTCATCATAGAAAAACTGTCCTGGCCGGGCGCGGTGGCTCAAGCCTGTAATCCCAGCACTTTGGGAGGCTGAGATGGGCGGATCACGAGGTCAGGAGATCGAGACCATCCTGGCTAACCCGGTGAAACCCCATCTCTACTAAAAAATACAAAAAACTAGCTGGGCGAGGTAGCGGGCGCCTGTAGTCCCAGCTACTTGGGAGGCTGAGGCAGGAGAATGGCGTAAACCCGGGAGGCGGAGCTTGCAGTGAGCTGAGATCGGGCCACTGCACTCCAGCCTGGGCGACAGAGCGAGACTCCATCTCAAAAAAAAAAAAAAAAAAAAAAAAAAAAAAAAAACTGTCCTAATACAGATAACTTACCTTGGTTCCATCCTAGCAAGTGCTTAAGTCACCTTCCAAAAAGATGTACATGTTGCATAAAAGTATAAAATCAAAGCTGAGATTTTAAGGAGGAATGGAAAAAACAAGGAGAGAATAATACAGCCAGTTTTATTCAGTCATGAGATTTGGGTCAGTTTAGTTTTCTAATGCCAAAGCAGAGAGATGATTAACCACAAGATTCATTGCATCCAAATTAAGAAAAAATGAAAAACTGGTTGCTCTGGCAAAGCACAACTTTTCCTGATATCAAGAAAAATCTGATAAAAAGTGGGTCACTCTAGCAAAGTTGTTTGGGTACTAACTATAGCTGAAATAAGGTACATTCACGAAGTACGAAGTGTTTGAAAAACTAAAAAGAACTTCATTATACGGCAGTATTTAATCGTAAATTTCCAACATAACCTTGTACTAATAGCAGCTCATTTATTGAGCACTTACCTTACGAGGAACAGGGTTCTCGACTGATGAGCATGATCTCTTTGTCTCATGGCATCCTCCTCACAGAGGGTAGGTGCTATTATTAGCACCATTTTAAAGGGGAGGAATCTGAGTCCCAGAGGCCAAGTAATTGGGCCAAAGTTGTAGGGCTACCAAACAGAAAACCAGCTCCAGCATGCTAAACCCCTTTCCAGCACAAGGCTGAACTTTTCCCTTCTCAGGTATTTGCAGTTCATACTATTGAGCCTACTCCTTGGGAAGCTTCCCTCAGCTGCTTTTGCTTGCAATCGTTCTCATACCTGACTACACACACATTAGAATTACCTGGGAAGCTTTAAAAAACAAACAAGCCTTTTGGCTCCACCCTAAGTAGCTCTGATTCAATCCATCTGGGGAGGGACTTGGCATCAGTATTTTTTTTTAAGTCACCTTAGGTTGTTGACCATTGAAAGTGAGGCAAGCACCTCTTTATACTTAATGATAAATGCAGATTTGCAAAATAAGTATCCTGTCAAACACATTAGTGGCTGGTGTGATTGCACAATGGCCCATGTGCTGCTGCTTGGCCTGGCCCTCTATTGGGCAGCTCTGTTGAGAGTTGATACACTTGTAACACTTCACTTTGTCAGCTTTGTGGCTTCAGTCACAATTCCATGTTAACACAAAAAGTTTCATTGACATTATATTACATTAATTTGTAGTCAGCCTTGAAGACTCTTCTGATTATCTTTCCTGTGTAACAAATCATCTCAAAACCTAGTGGCATAAAACACCACCATTTCATCATGCTCACAGATTCTATGAGTCAGAAACTTGGACACTGCCAGGCAGGTGTGGTTTATCTTTACTGGGCAGTGTAGCAGTTCCAGCTGACTTGATTGTACCGGGCAGGAATTATCTGGAGGCTTCTTCATTGATAGATCTTGGCTGGGCTGGAATGACTTGAAGCCTGGCTGCAGCTGAGACTGGCAACTTCAACACCTTACACCTGGGCTCTCCACATGGCCTGGCCGCCTCCTCGTACTTTCTGAGCCTCAGGATAGCTGGGCTTTCCACCTGGCAGCTTGGGGCTCTGGGAGTGAATGTTTACTCCAGCTGACATCCATAGTCTTTCCAGTTTCCTGGTCTTTTCTGTCCCTACTTTGGACAATTATTTTGCATAATTTCTGCTGAACTGTAGTGGTTGAAAACAGTCACAAATCTGTTCAAGAGGAGGAGACCAAGAGCCCCACAAGTGCTTTTTAGCCTCAAGGATAAAATCCATTATTATGTTTCCTTCAAAGTATATAATTCCCATCTTAATAACTGTTTAAATATTTATTGAATGAACTGGTACAACCAATTCATTATATAGTTTATAATGGTTTTTATACCTGTTGGAAGATAAATAGAACTGTATTTAAAGTGCACTTTGTGGCCGGGCACGGTGGCTCACACCTGTAATCCCAGCACTTTGGGAGGCCAAGGCGGGCGGATCACTTGAGACCAGGAGTTTGAGACTAGCCTGGGAACATGGCAAAACCCCACCTCTACTGAAAATACAAAAATGAGCCAGGCGTGTTGCTGCACACCCGTAATCCTTGCTACTTGGGAGACTGAGGCATGAGAATCACTTGAACCCAGGAGGTGGAGGTTACAGTGAGCCGAGATAGTGCCACTGCACTCCAGCCTGTGTGACAGAATGAGACCCTGTCAAATAAATACATAAATAAATAAATAGTGCACTTTGCAGTGCATGTACTGTTACAATCTAACTGAAGTATTTTATTGTTACCCGTGCTTAAAGCACTATAGATGCATAACTAGGTCTGTTTAACTTCATTCCATAGTGAGACAAAGATGCTTGGTTTCAATCATTTTTCCTTGAATATTACTGTGCAAGTTGTGCTAAAACATAATAATAAAATAAGTAAATAAATAAAAAATAAACAAAGTGCCCCTTGCTTAGCAAAGAATGCATCTAATCAGGCTCACTCAGGGTGGTTAGAGCAGGTTGCTTACGGAGAAGAGATCCACGCCACACTCTGCTTTCACACAGCTTTTCATCAATAGATAGCATTGCTTATAAATGGGGTCTGGGAAAAAATAATGGCCTCAGTCAAGCTAATCAATTTCTCTAGATAATAATCCAAAGTGAATGTTGTATGGTATTATTACTTACCAATGTCTGTGATAAGTACAGCCAAGTTTGGGGTTTTCTGGATACTTCTTTTAGTTTTCCTTTAGTTTCCAGGGAGCAAGTTATAATTACAGGACCTTTCAATGATGTTTTAAGGATTATTTTCATCTCACTGCTGCGTTTCTTGTAAAAATGGAAAGTCCCAGATTTGTACTGGCACGTTGGATTAAAATTCATCAGTCGCTGCATTTTTTCCAGATCTATTTCTTAATTACTTAAACTGATTTAGGTAATTAGTTGGCTCTCTACCAATCCTTTACTAAGTTTAGTTTGAGGTTTGTTTCAGTGTTGTGATAGGATGAATAATGGCCTCTTAAAGACAGCCAAGTCCTAATTCCCAGAACCAGTGAATATGGGTACCTTGCTTTGTAAAAGAGACTTTGCACACATGATTAAGTTATAGATCTTGAGGTGAGAGATTATTCTGGGTTATTGGGTTGGGCCAATGTAATCACAGGGTCCTTATAGGAGGGAGGCAGGAGATCAGAGTGAATAACAGCAGATAGAGGCAAGAGATTGGGAAGACATGAGAATGAGGTCAAGGGCCACAGAATGCAGATGGCCTGAGAAGCTGACAGAGGCAAGAAAATGGATTCTCCCCATGTCCCAGAAGGAACCAGCCCTGCCAGCACCTTGATGGTTGCCCAGGGAGACTGACTTTGGATTTCTGACTTCCAGAACTATAAGAGAAATAATTCTCATTATTTTAAACCATTCAGTTTTGGTAATTTGTCACAGTAGCCATAGGGAACTAATATAAACATTGATGTCATTCAAGACATACAGCTGTACATTTCATTTGATTGGTTGAACTATTGGTGTTGATATTGATTCCTACACCAAGTAGCTAAGTATACTTCATTGCTGTCAAAATGCAAACTACTGTTGGCTTAGATTTTATTGATGACTTGAGAAAATATTATATATGTTCATCTATAAGGAAATCACTAAGTTAAAATTCAGAATTAAAAATCAGATAGAGTGGCTAGTCGTTTTACCAAAGGTTGTTTTGTTTATCAGAGGCAAATTTGCTGCATGAGTCATAAATATCATGGAGCCACACTAAAACATTTCAAAAGTGAGTCAACTTACAAAACTGCAATTTGCTTCCAAACTCTTCAAGTACATCCATCACATAAAGAAATCAAGCAAGGAAGTAAGTAATACATGTAATAAACATAATTAATACTTAAAATTCATTCAAATACTCTTAAAAAATTTTTAAGTGCCAAGGGCTATAAAATAGGTTTGGCATTATTAGCCAAATCCTTTTCCTTAGATTCCCCATTTGTGCCCAAATGTACTGAGTTATTCTAAAAATAAAATAAATTACGTGGCAGTGCCTAGATTAGTATCTGGCACATGATAGGTATACAATAAATATCAGCTGGGTGTGAATGGAAGGGGTGTCGGCAGCTGCAGAGCAGCAGATCTTGTTCATTGGCAGGTGATGAATGCCACCTCCAGCTTAGACCCGAGAGAATGCCTTTTCCTCCCTTTCAGTAAAAAAGAGGGTAGAAAAGGTCCCTTCACTATGGCCCTGTGCCAGGGCCTCCAGTTATTAATATTAGTACAGTAAATAACTAGTGTCTGCATGACATGTTTTCAGGCTGTCACATCTTGACAATGTTAGAGAATCTGTGAACAGGAAGTGAATTTTGAAGTACTTAATATGTGTTTTACTTCAGAGTTCCCTTAAGAGCGAGATAACAGATCTAAGAACAAGTGGTTACTTCAGTAGATCATTTTTGTTCAGCATTTAGGCAAATACCTGATTGATTAATTTGCTCTTTCTTTTTGTCAGTTAAATGTTAGTAAAACATTCTCTCTCAAAAGTAATGTGGAGTATACTGTAAGCTGACTTTGACTGTGCACATGAGCTGTTCCAGAATTTAGCTACATGGCTGAGAAGCCATGAGCAAGGAATAGGAATTTTTTTTTTTTTTTTTTTTTTTTTTTGAGACAAGGTATGCTCTCTGTCACCCAGCCTGGAGGAGTGCAGTGGCACGATCACAACTCCACTGCAGCCTTGACCTCCTGGGCCCAAGGAAACTTTCCACCTCAGTCTCCTGAGTAACTGGGACTACAGGAGTACACACTACCATAGCCAGCTAACTTTTTATTTTTTGTAGAGACAAGGTCGAGGCTGCAGTGAGTCTTGATCATGCCACTGCCTGGGTGACAGTGAGACTCTGTCTCAGTATGTGACCCCCAAATGCAGTAAAGCTGTTTCTGATCTGAAACTATAAAAATCGATGTTTTAGGCTCATTGTCCTTTCCAACATAGTATAAATTCTTTTTTGTAGAGGAGTGATTCTCAGCCAAGGGAAATTTTGTCTCCTAGGGGACATTTGACAATATTTGGAGACATTTATGGTTGTCACAAGGGGGTGGAGTGCTACCAGCATCTAGTGGGGAGAGTCTAGAGATGCTGCTAAACAACCTTCTGTGCATAGGACAGCCGCTGCAACAATGACCCCAAACATCAATAGTGCCAAGGCTGAGAAACGCACGAATAAGCTCATGCAGGGAATGACATGGGTTAGGGAAGGGAGCTTGTTATGAGTGAAAGCTAGCAGTTGTGTTCCCTGTGAACATTTTGCTGGTTGCCTAGTTGCAATTTTGCAATGTTGATTATTACTTAAGAGGAAGTAAAGCATGCTCAAACTGAGTGGGAGATGCAGATGTAAACTTTCTTAACTATGATAAGGTTTCTCTGCCGAGGACATTTAGAAATATGATTTGTGCATTTACAGAAATATAAGACATTTAAATGATCCATCTTCTTAGTTTTACTTTATTTGTGAAGAAAACACTCACCTAAAATTCTATTCTTTTGCTATTCTTAGGCATAGCAAAAGAATTCTCTGATGGGAACTCTTCACCATACCAGGAAATTTATTCACAGTGGAAAGTCCTACATATTTTCTTGCTGGAGGCTCAAGTCCACCCACACTAGGCAAGGCATTGCCTATAAATGCTCAATATTCAAAAGCGTAGGCCAGTAGTTGGGTCACCACCTGGGAGCTTGTTAACAGGCAGAATCTCAGGCCTTACCCAGACCTACAGAATCAGTGTCTGCATTGTGACAAAATCCTTCAAGGATTCCCACACATATTCAAGATCAAGAAGTACCGAAATGGTTTTCATTCCATGGTAATAAAGCCCTAACATTTGAGATTGCGAATAAAATGGATTTTATTCTTATCAAAATATGTGGGGATTTGTTTATGACTAGCAATGCTGGATTGGGAAAGTTGGTTTACCTCTTGAGCTTCAGTACTGTCATTTGTATAAAGAAGGAGTGAAGATGAGAAGATCTCTAACTTCTTTTCTCGCATTGTAGGGAATACAATGTTTTTTTTCCAGTGTAAACACAATCCATACAGTCTGGGTTGTCCTGCTGAGGGTAAACGTAAAAACCAGAGGGTCTCTGGCCAGCAGATGCCAGAGTTGCACAGAGCTATGTTAATAAACAGTGACTGAATTCTTATGGAATTCCACCTCCAATCTCGAAACTGAGCCTACTGAAGGGGTGTGCCCCTTGGTTGGCACTTGGGCCTATTCTTTGTATTGGTATTCTCTGCCTCAATGTTTGCCTGAACATTGCGTATAAATTAACCCATTATTCGGAACCAGCACAGTCTGCAGAAGTGGGCTCTGCCTGGGAGTGCCAAGGGGTAGCTCCTGGGCCATGCCCACTGCTCCTGGCCACCTCACTCGAGTGTTGAAGTAGAGGTCGTCCAGCTACATTCTAGTAAACACTGTCTGAATATAGAGAGGCTGGGTGTGGGAGTATCTTATAGGACAGCTCACAAAGATAAAACGTGATCTACAATTCAACTTATTTCAAAAACTACCTCTGGCAAGTGATTTGGGGAGATAGTACTTTTGCTTTTCTTGGTGCACTCAAGAGACTGCATTAACTTGAATGCTGTAATTATTTCACATTGCACACATATATGAAAACCTCATATTGTACTCCTTAAATATATACAATTTTTATTTGTTAATTGTACCTCAATAATTATACCCCAAAGCTGGAAAAACATATATATTTGGGTATTAGCCTACATGTGAGGATATAAAAATGTTCCATCATATATATCACCTAATATTTTAAATAAAATATTTGGTTGTCCAAAATTTACAAACACATGCAAAATAGAAAAGAGTGAGAGACTGCAAGATCACACTGGCAAGCCAAATCACAGATTCCACCACACCTCTGTTCCTATAAAGTACTGGAGGGACCTTGAAAGTTACTTTTCCTTTGAAAAAGATGGAGTAATTAAAGTAGAAAAATAAA